GGAAGGAGCAGGAGGAGCGCCGCAAACATGATCCCAAAGCGTTGCTTAAAAAGCCTTCCCACCTACAGCTGCTGATCTGGTCTGAGCCAAATGGCAAAAACCATACAAGCGTCACTTGCCATGGCCCAATTTGATGAGCGAACTCCTATGCTTTTGCACTCTGATAAGCTTTAGCTTCCCTGATTCAACAGATTGCAAGAATCTTTGAAGTGACTTTTGCACAACGATCAAAATCATGGCAAAAGGTTGTGGCTCCACTAGTTTGTTAGAAATAACGCTTCCCAGTCGAGGTTTCTTGCAAAAAAGCAGGCCGGTCCTTTCACTGTTGCGAAGATACGGGATGCTTATGCTGCTTATATATTGCTCCAATCTTACAAGTAACCTCCAATAACCTCTCTTTTTCTTGAGCAGTTCCTGAATCGGATAAGCCTGAAAGTGCACACACACACACACACACCGCCCCTGGCATATCGCTCTCCAATGTTTGATCTCCCGCGGTCTTGAGGCTTCAGGATCAAGAGCTGTCAAAGAGAACTCTGCTGCAACTTCGTCCGGAGGCACCCAGAAAGCTAGTATGCAGGCTATACAGGAAGCCATAACAATGCGAAAGATCGCACAGCGCTGTACAGGTGAACCAACATGAAAGATCTCATGGCTCACTTGATGCGAACACATTCCACATTCACCACCTAAGTCTAAGGTGCACAGGGAACCCACATGACATGCATTTGAGCCCACGCTCTGAAATGGCGTAACAAAAAGTACAAATAGTAGGTGACCAAGCCACTGCTGTGTTGGATAGATGCGTACCCACCTTGGTATAGGCGCTACAATCTTCGTTGAAGACATAATCTGTGAAGGCATCAAAGAAGTGGGCGTTGGGATCCTCACCTGTAGTCTCAACAATGGCACAGCGATAGGTGAGCTGTATCGCTGGCACCCTCGCGCAATGTTGCGTCTCCTTGTTGTCAGCACCGTAGTTAAGGCCAACCATCATGAACTTCCCAGAGGTGCTAGGGATCAAAGTCACCACGTCCTTCTTGCTGAGATGGGTCAATCAAACAAAGCTGAAACAGGCTATTACAGTACAAGTGTATGCTTGCTGTCTTACCACTTTCTGATTGGATGAGTGTATCACAAAACCACTTCCCACCTTCAGCCCGCCTTCTCATTGGGATAGAAAGTGATTTTGCCCAAGTCATCAAAAACAGTGGTGTTGCAGCTGAAGCTTCCGGCTACATCGCATGATGCCATTTCCTGTCTTTTTTGCAGGAAATGATCTGCAGCAAATGCAAAAGGAAGGAGCAGGAGGAGCGCCGCAAACATGATCCCAAAGCGTTGCTTGAAAAGCCTTCGCACCTACAGCTGCTGATCTGGTCTGATCCAAATGGCTAAAACCATACAAGCGTCACTTGCCATGGCCCAATTTGATGAGCGAACTCCTATGCTTTTGCACTCTGATAAGCTTTAGCTTCCCTGATTCAATAGATTGCCAGAAACCGCGTTCACGTCCTGCTGTGATACACATTCGCCTCACATACATGTCGCACACTGTCACATTACCAGAGTTGTTGACCCGCATCACCGGTGATGTCCAATGGCCACTGTCAGCCTCTTGGATCTTTCGAAGACGCAAGAGCCGCATCACACGCATGATCCTGGCCAGATTGAGTCGAGATCGAAGGCAATGGATTCAAACCGAGTCCAATTTCATTCCATTGCCAGTGACCCAAATGACATCTATCCTGCATCGGAGGACATCTACTGTATCCGATAGATGCGTGGCTTCGACTGTGGCGGCCGGGTAGAACTGCAGGGCGTGAGAACTTCACACATAAGACGGTTCTTTGCTAAGGCTTCTGTTATTTTTTAACATGAAGGCCACAAGTGGAACTTACCCTATAATGCGTCTCAGCAGGCTGCATCGAATCTCGTGCACCAAATTATTGATGAGCTGTCTGTAGATCTCTTAATATGTCTAAAACGAAACAACCAATCCAAGCAAAAAGGACTCGTCCGTCGATCGTCTCTTCCCGGTGCCTCATGTAGCGCACCGACTTGCCAATCCGCGCGAAGCCTCGCACTCTCACCACAGTGAGCTTGAACATAAAGTGCGAGATCAAATGACCAAATGCTGGCGGCAAGATTCGGGGGTTTTGTGAGAATGATGAAGATATCACATAACATGTAAATTTTGTTCATGAGATTCTCTCTCTATATATACATAGAAAGTTTGGATTGGAAGAAGGAAGCCAGCAATACAGTGCAAGTCCCAAATCAAAGCCCACAAAACAACGACTAAGGACTAAGGATGTTGACAATGGCATGAAATGGCATCTGTGCCACATAGGTGCCCACACAAAATAGGCCCAGGATATTGATGCAAATGTTTGCCTTTGCTTGGGTCAACGGTTCAGAACCTCACTAAGTCGGCTTGCAAAGGAGATGTTGGTGTCGGAATCAAAGCGGTGCGGCAGTGGACATTGCTAAGGCTAAGTGGTGCCAGCCTAGTTAACTGTTCCTTACATCGGTTTGTCCACCACAGCAAGAAAATGGAGGTCTGGTTCTGCACTCAAACCTGGTCAACAACGGTCTTTCTGATGGTGTTTTTGTCTGCGAATGTTCCCAAACACCTGTAAATTTTCCCTGAGCAGCCCAGTGCTGGGTATAAAGTATATATATTATATATATAGTACATATATAGATACATCTCACCCTGTCTGTGATATGAACCCGAGATTTCCAGGCGGTCGCGGCACTTTGCCTGCTGGGTTTGAGCTGCTGTCATTCTCGGCCAGGGCGAGGTAGAGCCTGAGTAGACTCTCACTCACCAACTTAACAATGGAGGAGCAGAAAAAGGGAGCTGAGTTCAATCAGCTCCTCCAAAAGAAATGGACTCTCCTGCAACAAAAAGACTCATGGCTGATCATGGCTGTAATTATTCTCCAAAACGAGCGTGTCAAACCGGCATAGACTGTGGTGGTGACCGCCGTGGGTCATAAATCTTTCAGTTTTTTCAAGGACGATCCAATAATATGACCCCTAGGAAGCTACTAGGAACAAGTGCATCGCTAGTAGTAACAGGTGCCTTACTAGTAGTAACAAGAAGCTATTAG